AAGATTGGATCGAAAATGGAATGCGAGGCAAAAAGAGGTTGGTTTGAAAAATGGCTCAACGACGTGTCGAGGATTTGATTGAAGATGGAACCGACTTAACGACGTGTCAAGGGCTAGGATGATGAGAAATGATATTAGTCCCTAAGGGTGCCCCTAATATCGAAACCAAGAGGAGTTGTGAAGTGTGTGCGAAATGTCGACGATTGCGAATGCGTACGAGCACTCGACATAGGAGAATGTTTGAAAATGATTAAGTTTGAATATTCGAAAGATTGAGTGAATAACAACTCAAGAGCGTGTCTCGAGAATTATTCACTCGAAGATTCAAGGAATGCTAGATTCCAAGAACCTCCTTCTTTCGGAGTTTTAATCGAGAAAAATGGTTTGAATTGTAAAAGGTATGAAAATGAAAGCGTGTGAGAGGTGAGAATATGAGATTGGATTTGAAAAGTATAGGAAAATGACGATTATTTGGCAAATGAGACGTCGGCCTCACAACCAATTTATCGGAGTATTATCGAGATGCTAGATCTCGACAACACCTTTTTCATTCGAAAATGTTTGGATGAACAAAGGAAATATCACACGGAATGCTAGATTCTTATGATATTTCTTCGTTAGAAAAAGAATATCTTAAAAATGAGAGGTCGAATAATACATTATTTAAGGTGTACACCTCAATAATGATTGTCCAAAAATCCAAGAAGTGCTAGACTTCAAGGATTTAATTTCTCATGATTTTGATTTAAGAAACTATCTTAGTGAATAAAAATAAATTTACATAAAGACTAGAAAAACTATTAATTTTGAAAATGAATTTGAAAAGAAAATATTTTAATAAAATAAGTTTAAATAAAAAAGTAGAAAATAATAGTTTTGAAAATGAGTTTGAAAAATATTTTAGTAATAAAGACTAAGAAAAAAAAAGGTTTTGAAAATAAGTTTGAAAATATTTAATATATACTATATTATAATATTATGAATAAAATATATATTCAAAAATAAATTACAACATAATTAGAATTTTTCACTCAAATAACCAACTTTCCCCCATATAATTTCCAATCTACCCAACTTTCCATCATATTATCCAATCTAACCTAGTTTCGTTTTTTTCTTTTTTTAACAAGGGGGCGCCATGGGGTATGGCTCCTCCCTTATAATTTATATGGGGGCGCCATCCAGGATGGATGCACCCTATAAATTATAAAGGGGGTGTCATCCCCTTTGACTCCTCCCTTAAATGACTTAAAGGGGGGCGCCATCCCCTATGGAGCTCCCTTTATACGAAAATAATTTTTAAAATATATTATAATTAATATAATTAAAATATTATATTATGGTATTCCAATTTTTTTTTTTATAAATAGGTAGACATGTTGTTAACATTGTTTCATCCAAATTTAGAAGAGTGAGTCATGTTCCTTAGAAGATATGGGCATGTAATTTTTTCACCGATGAAGCCTCCGATAAGGATGTTGTTTTGGAACATCCAGAGTTTAGAACAACTACGAAGAAATTTGAATCGGTGGCTAGAAGGAGATATTCCAAATGGTGAAAGAATTAGGAGTATTGAAAGACTTGTCTCGTACTTCTCTATTGAAGACGGAAACATACGGCGGGACTAGGTGCGAATTAGAGATGACAACGAAGTTAGGTCTATGATGTTCGAAACTGATGATATTACTTTGATTGTTGTTATATCTTAGGTTATGTTGTAATAATCGTTGTATTTTAATGATTTGCGTTTTATGCTGTAGAAGTAATTCAATTCGTTTTTGTGGTAATGAAAAGTTGATATAAATATTAAATTGCACAATTACATTTTAAAGACCAAATTAAATCTACCTAGAACTTGTTCCAACATTTGGACAGTTTTTCCTCGTATGCCCGGGAAGACGACATATTCCGCACAATCTTTCCATTTTCTCAGTTGTATCCATTTCAGTTGTAATTCGGGTGCTTTTGGGGCGACCCTTTTTGTTTCTTCTCATATTTTCATTGTGGTAGATTGTGTCTCCATAATAGGTTGGCCAGTAGTCCTCACTAGCTACCACTGGAAAACTGCTACTGTAGATACCGAATAAGTTCACGACCTTGTAAACTTCTGATAGCTGCAAGAATGGATCCTGACGAGCAGTTGAACATGCGGCAATGACATGTGAACAAGGCATGCGGAAGGTTTGAAACTTTCAGCAGTCGCACCAATTTTTATGAAGTTCCACCCTATAGTGTCCCATTGGCCGACCCTCGTTGTGATCCATTGTCTCACCAACAATGAAGTTGTAATCGTGACGATCAAATGGTCTAACTCGATGTGAGGCCGCCTTAGAAGTTTCATCCCTCATATACTTCATGCTTGATTCGCTGAATATTTGCCCTGATTGCAGTACAACGCTCCATTTTTTGCCTCTTGCTGCAAAAAGTGACCTCAATCTGTAATACGTTACCCTTACCAACGTAGTGATGGGGAGGTTTCTAGTTCCCTTAAATACGTCGTTTAGGGATTCTACAAGATTTGTGGTCATGTGACCCCATCTACACCCTTCATCAAATGACCTAGTCCATTTCTCGACTGGAATATTATCCACCCACCTTAATGCTTCCACGCTTGACAACCTTATTTCTTCTCGGTAATACATGAACGATGGTTGGTTTAAGGCATACCCAGCGTTCACAACTTTTTTACGGAGATTTCTGTCTTTAATGTCCCGCATAAAATTATGAGCAATGTGTCTTATGTAGAAGACATGGACAGAAGGAGGGTTGTGCCAACCATTAGCAGGATTGTTGTAGGCGCTCACAATAGAAGCATGTCTGTCAGAAATCAGACATAAGTTGGGTTGAGGTGCGACATGTGTTCTGAGATTTCTGAGGAAGAAACTCCAAGCTTCGCCTGTCTCACCCTCGACCAGGGAAAAGGCAATCGGAAATATATTATTATTTCCGTCTTGTGCTACCGCCATCAACAATGTTCCTTTGTATTTTCCATACAACCATGTTCCATCGACTTGTATAACTGGTTTGCAGAATGCAAAACCTTTGATACATGGTTGAAATGCCCAAAAGAGACGAGAAAATATCCTACTTCCAGCAACACATGTTCCTTCAGGAGTGTATGCTGGTAGTGACTCCAATATTACAACCGTACCAGGAACATATTTTTGAAGTGCTAGTAGATAATGTGGAAGTTGATGGTAAGAATGCTCCCAATTCCCATATACATGTTCCACCGCTTTTATTCTACCTATCCAAGCTTTCCTATACGATGGGGTATAGTTGAACCGTGCAACAACATGAGAGATAATTGTGCTCACCTTCACAGATGGATCCGCGCCCACAAGATGCAAAATCTCTTGGGATATCAATTGAGAGCTTAGTTTTCCATGATCTTGCCGATTGATGTTGGTTGTGCAACTATGAGGTGGATCCATCGAACCTATCTCCCAACAATCACTTCTTTTCCGATAGGACGCTGCTAACCGAAACTTGCAACTTGCGTTACGACAAACTACGACATAGCGTTTTGAGTCGTTCTGATTGATGTAAAAATCAACAAAGTTATCCATATGAAACTTTCTTATGGCTTTCATGCACTCCTCTTTCGTGCGGTACTGGTTTCCGACTTTCAAGACACTTTCAATTTGTTGAGAAGGATTGTAGAAATAATCTGAGGAAGTATCGTCTCCACTGAATTGTAAGTTCGTCATGTGTTAAGGAGGACAATACACTTGATTTAATGGGAGGGCCTCTTCATCTATGTCTTGCAGGGGAGTCATTGCAGTGTAGTCCCCGGTCCTGAAAAAATTAACCATTTGATCAACCATGGCCTCTGGATCTTCTTCCTCCTCGTCCACTTCATTAATACATAAGGGAGGCGCCATGGGGTATGGCTCCCCTGTGACATGTGTCAGAAAGATCACTTTTTGCATGCATGCAAAATGACATGTGTACGAAATTTACTGCACATCAATCTCTTTTCTACACAAATTCATCTATCTCATTAACTTCTCTACACATCAATCAATTTTTCAACTACACAAATTTAATTTTTACCTCTACAACCATAAATTCAAATTTCAAATTCAAAATTTTTACTATAAATACTACTCCTCCTCATTCCAAAAAACACATCAAATATATCCAACAATTCTACTTCTCCCATATATTTCCCTCATAAATCCACACTATAGAAGTCATGTCTCTGTTAACATTGGGTGAAACGCATAGAGGAACACCAAGCAACATCGCGTCTTATTTAAGTACTTGTACTTGATAATTCACAATGTTCTAATTTCTTGTTTTTACAAATACAATGTTCTAATGTCTTGTTTGTTTTTATGTAGAATACTCATGACTTTCGTACTCGTGGGCATAAACATTTCTCACATGACCCGTTAATTCAACCTTTTTTGGAGCGCGCGGGATTTGGAGAAGTAATTAACATTACAAATTATCTTCTTGATACCAAGTTTATCTTGGCTCTGCAAGAAAGGTGGCATCCCGAGACGCACACATTTCATCTTCCAATAGGTGAATGTGCAGTTACACTCGAGGACACATACATGCTATTGGGTTTACCCATAGATGGTAAGGCGGTAAACGGTATAACCAATCCTAGCGGTAGTGTCATAGGAGAACTCTTAGGGGTTGAACCAACCCCACGAGATTTGAGGGGCCAAAAAATTTTAATGTCATGGCTTAAAAAAATTTATAGAGACTTAAGATTAACTCCAGAGTCTCCTGAAATATTAAAAATTAGAAAAACTCGCATTTATATTATGTTATTAATAGGGTTATTTTTATGTCCGGATACAAGTGGAAACGCTGTTCACTTTATGTACTTACATTTATTAGAAGATGTAAATAAAATAAAAACATATAATTGGGGGTCCGCAACACTAGCGCACCTATATCGGTCTTTATGTAACAACTCAATAGCAAATTCGGGAAACTGGACCGGATGTGGTGTTCTTCTTCAAGCATGGGGTTGGTCAAGAATGACCAATCTAGCACCTATCCAACAAAATAATGTTGAATTTCCATTCGCTAAAAGGTAATTATTTTTCCCATTTCTCAATTATCTATCAAAGTATTTCAATTAATTAATCATATTATTAATAAATATTTTCTTTTCGATTTGTAGGTGGTCTTCGCTTGGAATGAATTATGACAACTGTCCACACTACAGTATCACGCAGTACAGAAATCTTATTGATCACTTGGGTCAAGATGATGTATACTCACAAACCTTACTATTTATGTTATTCTCTACTTTAATATTATTACAAAATACTTAATATTAATTGTTTCCTCCTACAGTTCATTTGGCGGTCGTATCTTGGTCTAGAAGCCTTTCATGAAGTTGAACGACAAGACTCTGCGGTGTGGAGTGCAAAGGTGCCAATTATCAACTTCACCACCGTGGAAATGCACAACACTGATCGTGTGAAACTTCAATTTGGAATGCTTCAGGATATTCCATGTCCACCAAAGTGCATCCCCGACAAATATCACACCGGTAAAGTCTCCGACCAATGGGAGTATAATCCGTGGACCAAGTATGCAAAACACGAGTGTCGTGAATGGAGGCATCGCAACAACTATGTTTTATCTGACACTGTGTTTCCATACAAGATGAAACAATCAATACAATACATGACTTGGTATAGGTCTGTATCAATTGGTTTCATTTCACATCCAAGGTATCTAGTTGACCCACGCCAACAAGATTCATCATCAAGGCCCCAACAACCAACCCAGCCCTATTTCTAACCGCCAACCCAACCTCATTGCCAACCATCAACCCAATACCATTTCCAACCGCCAATCCAACCTCATTGCCAACCATCAACCCAATACCATTTCCAACCGCCAACCCAACCCCATTTTCAACCATCAACCCAACCCCATTTCCAACCACCATTCCAACCCCATTTTCAACCGCCAACCCAACCCTATTTTCAACCGCCAACCCAACCCTATTTTCATCCCCCACTCACACAATCACAACAATATGAACATACCCCTAACCAATTCACTCCATTCACACAAACTCATTCACAATCCACACAATACCACACATACTCCATGGATACTACAAACCAAATAAACACCCAGTTTCAAACACCCAACCAACCAATACCCACCCAATCATTTACACCCATCCCACCCTACGATCAGGCAGGTTATCGTCCTGACATTGCCTCGTCTAGCCAACCACCCCAAAATAACTATGAAGGCATGGGCAACTCTTTTGATTTGGATGACTTTACGGATATGGATCCGTCTTCATGGGCCGAAGTGATTCAATTGCTTGAAGAAGACACAATGGACCCGACTCTATAACAAAGACCACATCGAAACGTACGTGATCAGAGATGCGGTACGGGCGGACATTTAAACTGACCACGGCGTAGAAACTAGTTTACAATATCTTGCATATTTGTGATTCAATAATTATTGTAATTATTATTTAATATTAAATTTATTAAATACAATTTGATTTTTTTTTTATTATTTGAAATTTTGTAATGCTATTATAAATTATTATTTATTTATTACTTATAAAATAAATAAAAATTATTCAGAAATTATTATTATATAATTATTTTTTTAAAATATAAAATATTTATTAAATATTATTTATTAAATATTTTTAAACTAATTATACATTTAAAATTATTAAAAAAAATCAAGTTTAAGGGAGGAGCCAAAGGGGATGGCGCCCCCTTTATAATTTATAGGGTGCCTCCATCCTGGATGGCGCCCCCATATAAATTATAAGGGAGGAGCCATACCCCATGGCGCCCCCTTGTTAAAAAAAAAATACGAAACTAGGTTAGATTGGATAATATGATGGAAAGTTTGGTAGATTGGAAATTATATGGGGGAAAGTTGGTTATTTGGGTGAAAAATTCACATAATTATAAAAAGTAAAAATAAAAAATAAAACAAAGGGGTGTGGTAGCAGCCAGGCAGGTGTGTGGTTAGTAAATCCACTTGGGCTTGGTTTAAAGGCCCAACACTATATACAACCAGCAGAGGGGGGTGTACGAAAAAAAGGGGGGTACGGAGAGTAAATCGGTTGGGCTTGGTTTGAAGGCCCAACGACACACAAAGGTCAGCCAGCAGGGGGGACAAGTGAGGAAAATAGAGGGTGCAAAGATTGAGAAGAGAGACAACTGGGCCCTTCGGCCAACTAACCCATCTGGAGGACCCATACACCTTTTCTTCTTCCTTCATTTGGTCTGACCAGAAACCCTAGATCTACTCCCGGCCGCCGTCTCTCTCTCACACCCATTCCATCGGCTCTGACATCATCATCACCTGCAAAACCAAATGAACAAAAACAAAACAAACACCACAACCCAGACGAAAACACATGGACATCGAAGGAAGCTGATGTTGAAACGTTCGTGGTGTTGGGAGGAAAACGGAGACGTTGAGTTGCGGTGGAGTTTGAAGTACTTCAATGAGTTCGTCGATAAGTCGTGATGGTTCGATGACTATGAGTTCAGATCGTGATTTGAAGATGATGTAAGTTTAGATCTATGGGGAGAATAGCGGAAAAAATTATCTGGGCAAGGTTGTTGCGGTTGATGATGTTGAAGATTTAAGGAGAATCGGTGAGGAGTTGATGAAGGTCCTTGGAATTTCCTTGAAAATTAGCGGTGGTTGATGAATCTAGAAGCATGTTGGAGTTAGGTACGAGTTTGGGGGATTTGAAGCTGACGGAAGGTTACGGAAAGTCTGATGAGATGATGAAGATCTGGAGGATTTGATGAATATTCGAAGTTGTTACGGAAAAAAAACTGGAAAAGTATGAACACGGTTGCATGTTCATGGGGATTTCTGGGAAATCGTTGAATGTTCTTGAATACGGATGAGTTTCTGGGGAAAAAGTTCGAAGGAGGTTTGAACGTTCATGAATATTTGATGAGAAGGATGAACACGATGATGAAGGTTTGAATATCGGAAGGGTTTCTGGAAAATTGTTGATGAACAGCGATGGATTCGTATGAATATATGAAGGATGTTGCTGGAATAACGATGAACACGGTATGAACACGAAGAACTCGATGAGTTTTCCGGCGAGGCTAAGATTTTTCCGGCGACGAATTCCAATGTGTTTTTGATCCAATTAATTTTTCTGACGGAGTGAATAGGAGTTTGCATGGCCTCGAGAAGCGTGTCCGATAGGGTTAGGGTTAGGGTTGTGAGGTGGCGGCTGATAGATTAGGGTTTCAATGTTTGGGAACTATGTCTCATTAATGCAGACAGACACTAGGCTTTATAGCCTGACAAGTGGCACAGACAATGACCTAATGGGCCTTCATAACAGACTAATGGACCAGAAAAATAATCTCATTGAAATTTGTTTAATTAAAGATGAATTATAAAGGAAATCGAATTAAAGCAACTTAACCATCACGTTAATACTTAAAATAATTAAAGCCTAATTAATATTAACTAACTAATGAGATTAAAAACCTAATTAAACTAAATTAAATCTGAATAAAAAAAATAAAAAAAGAAGATGATTAATACTAACGATAAGATAATAAATAAATAAATAAAACTAAACTTTAAATACTCTAATTAAATCTAAAATCTCAATAAATGTTAATCTAAATCTAAATAAATAAATAATAAATAAAAAGAAAATATAATTACTACTATTAATCTAAATAAATAAATAAATAATAATAAATAAAAACTTTAACAACTACATATAAAAGAAGTCTAATTTAAAAAATTAAAAAAAACTCAATGAACTATATTTTTAAAAGACAAATAACATTCTACTCTAATTAATATAAATATTAAACAAAAGCAAATTAATTCTAATATTAACTATAATAATAAATAAAAAAGATATTTATCTAAAAAAATAAAAACTATTCAAATAAAATCTACACCTAATTATAATAAATAAAAATGACAAAAAAAAATAAAAAGAACAAAAGGGTAATATTTGCAAGAAAAAAGGAAAATGAAAATGGAAGCAAAATTGACCAAAATGCCCCCTCAGACCACGTGTCACACTTTTATTGGACAAAACGGATAAAATTCGAAAAACGCCCAATTTCAGGTGGACACGTGTCTAAACGGCATGAAACAATAATGCGAAAATATTTACAAAAGGGGTAGGACAAATTTAGGGTATGACAATTATACGTCATGCAGGTTCTTGATTTGAGTTTTGTTCTCAGAAGGTTACTTTTGGTCGGCATTCTCGTTTATCCCAACTCTTGGTTGGTATCCTTTGGTTGTTTATCCCAACTCTTAGTTGGTATCTTTTGGTTGTTATCCTTTGGTTGTTTATTCCAACCTTTTGGTTGGTATCCTTTTCTCGTTTATCCCAACTCTTGGTTGGTATCCTTTGATCGTTATCCCAACTTTTGGTTGGTATCTTTTATGTCGTTCCGACTTTTGATTGAAGTTTTGTTCATCTTGGATTGTTATCCTCAACGTGCCGCATCCCAACTTTTGGTTGGTATTCGCTGTTTTGCATCTCCCCATATTGCAAATTTTCGGGTTCTTTTGGTATTCAATCACTTTTGACCTTGAATGTTTGAAAGTCATTGATATCATCCCTTCAAGTTCACGTTAATTGAATAAGGGCAGTTGTAGCACTCCAAAATTTGCCTCATCATTTTTTGGTTTACTGACTTTTGTTTCTCTACTTTTTTTTTGCATTTCTGCATATTATAACATTGGTTCTTGAGGCATGGTATCAAGTTGTTTCTATGGCTCAGAGTTTCCTTTCGTTGCAAGAGTTTAAATGGTGAGCATTAGAGGCTCCAGCAGTTATTTTTCTCAGCGACCGATTTTATTCTTTTCAGCAGGTTATTTTTAGCTTGAAGACGGTGTACAGGCTATCTCGGGCATTCTCACAATCATAATATCCAAGGGCAAGTTTTAGAGGCTTAGCAGAGCTTATAACAGGTGGCAACAGGTGATTATGCAGGATTCCCTCCATTTGGTGCCAAATTGGACTTTTTTTTAATGTGGTAACCAGTTACCACATATTGGGTAACCGGTTACTTCAAGCGAAATTTGCCAAGAAATTCAAATTTTCAGCATTGCAAGATTTTCAATCATTTTCAACCATTGATTTCACATGATCATCATTGGAAGGATCTAGAATTGCTCCAATTTTCACCATTTCCCTCCAAATTTCAAACACTCCATTCCTAATTCCACTCCTATATTCCATTCCAAATGTTAATCCATATTCCAAACCACACTTTGATTCCAAACCTAGAGTTTATTTAAGTGAATTTGCTCCAAACCTCACAAGAAAACCTTCATTTTAGATCTCACACTCATTCTTGAGAATTTGCTCTCAACTTTCTCTCAACTTATTCACTCCCAAAACCTCCATTATAGCTCTTTCCACTTGAGTTCTTTAATTCTTCATTGGAATCCTTGAATTCTAGAGCTAAACCTCCATCCTTCATCTCTATTATCTTCAATTCATCATTCAATTTTCGTTTGGTTTTGGATCTGAATTTGGAAGCTAGATTGGAAGTGCTTTTTTGGATCATTTTGCTTGATCTTGCTTGTTCTTCATTTCTACCATAAGGAAGCTCTTGGATCTTGAAGAATCTCTAGGTTTCTTGCTTGGATCTGCTAATTTTAAATGAATCAACACTCACCAAAGCAAATCTCAGCTTTGAGGGTTGGCAATTCTAGATCTAATTATGTTTTGAGCTTATTTGAATAATCACAATGTAGATTAATGGTTTTTGTTGCTTTTTGATCCATCTTGATGATTTGGATCTTGGTGATCTGTGATTTCATTGTTTGATTGTGTTTATATGATGTTTGATCACAGATATTTAATGATAATTTTGTGCTTAATTGATAACATGTTCATATGAGTGATTGGATAAGTTGTTGGATGCTGGAAACTCATTTTTAAAGCTGATTTTCTATTTCTGGTTCAGTGGTAACCAGTTACCTGATATAGGGTAACCGGTTACTCTGTACAAAATTCACGTTCCAGACTATTTTTCAATGGTTAATCGGCTACCTGATATTGAGTAACCAGTTACCACTTAGCAGAATATTGTGTTTTTGCATTTTTCTTGTTTGTTTGGGTTCCTTTTCACATGTAAACCTCATGGATTGATATGATGCATTTATGTGATGTGTTTTTGACATATTTCATCATTCTTGAATGTTTGATCTTGATTCTTCGACGCGTAACTTTTGGTTTTCGTTTTGAGTGTTTAACATGTTATTGTTGTTTGATTGATGAATGATCATATTGCTTTGCTTGCTAGTAGCATGATTATTTGATTATCATTGATGATTATGTCGCTGAATATTGTGATGCA